ACACGGAGCGCAAAGGACACAACAACTGGAAAAAACAAACAAACAAACAAACAAACAAACAAACAAACAATGCGGAAAGAAAAGCAAAACAAACAATTTCGAGCGCAGAACGCTCAAATCATCGATGCACAGGCCTGCGGAATTCGTCTCTTCGAATTTGCGAAAGCTGCGTGGAAGCCTCGCGAAGCATGTAGCAAGCGTGCAGGATTTCAACGGCAGAAAGGCAATGTTCAGTTGTTCTTAGCAATCTTAGCATTCTGTAAAATCAGAGCTCTGCTGCGCTTGGCCGAAGCCGGAAACAGCCCACACTCGGCGGCAAAAGTCAGTGCACGATGCAAGCAAACCTGCATGAGACGCAAGCGCATTCACGAAGTCAGAGAAGTCAGTGCAAAACTTGCCAAATCCCACTGTGACGCAGTATGTCAAGATGTCCGCTTTTAAGCACTAATTTGGACGCGCAATGTGTAAATCCCTATGTGACGCAGTATGTCAAGATGTCCACTAATTTGGACGTACGATGTGTAAATCCCACAGTATGTCAATATGTCTGGTTTAAAGCGCTAATTTGGACGTACGATGTGAAAATCCCAATGGGACGCAGTATGTCAAGATGTCCGGCTTAAAGCAAAATCTTGCCGCATGGAGTTCAACTTCAACGGTAACCATATCTATGTAAACCCCCACCAGGACGCAAGCCGCACCGACTCCCTGAATCAGATGCAAACGCACCGACTGTCACCGGAGAGTGTATAATCCAACTAACTGGCACTCGATTGCCGCGACTATCCGGAGCAAAACACGAGTGTCCTGCAAATCCTTGAGGCTGATCTTCACAGGTTTCTTGTCTTCTCCTGGCACGATCTCGAGGACATAAGTCTTTGGATCAACAATGTCGCCGGTGGGGACAGGCAGGTGGTTTCGAACGAAGAACTTCTCGTTCGGGGTGAAGAACTCCTCCGTTGAATCCGCTGCACTCAGCCAATAAGTTTGCCAAAAAAGCTGGCCGAGTAAAACGGGCGCCCCATTGACGAGGGGGGGGAGGAAACACCCCCTGATCAATCACAAGATATCACGAGGTCTTTTAAATCCGGCCATCATTTCGTAAAACCCAAGACTGGGACCCTGAAGAGGTTTGCCCTGGAGTGGTCCTGTTTTTGCAGCTGGGAGAGTGGCGTTTCAGCGTTGAAGGGCTTGGCAGCTTGGACTACGAGCTCCGGGTCGCGCTTCGGGTCGGTGTTGTAGGGGTCGAACGGAGCTGGCAAATTCTTGTACTCGTCCTCGCCTCATGCTGCCATGCTTGACCCGTGCGTTTCGCGCAACAAAATGCGAAAATACCGATTGAAGTGACATCCTGACATCCTCCAAAACACGTTCACTTGCGGCTTAAAGGGAAACCACCTCAAAGATCAGTTTTGACAACCCAGCCAAAATTGCGCTGTAATGGACCCATCGGTATGCCGTCCAAATGCTGAGGTGACCAATGCGGTGCTCTCCAAGAATGTCCTTCACGCTTGCCACGTTGTGCTGCGCATACATGGCCCAGAAGGGGTCGATCTGACCTCCAGCAGCCTTCAGGATTCGCTCCAATCCCCCCGGGTGATTCTGAACAAACTTGGTGATATCATAGACGCCATCGCGGTAAGTCACCCAAATGCCCTTCTCCGGGCTGTTGTGCTTTTTGACCTCCTCGAACTTGATTGTTGGCTCACCTGGCTGGTAGCCTGGTGCCAGTTGCTTCTTGACCGGAGCTGGCTCTGGCGGCTTCACTTTCTTCTTCTCCTTGTGCCAGGGTGGGGCCAACCTTCCCTTCAGCGCGTTTTAACATGCACCGACAAGTAGATGTTTAATAATTGTTAACCTGGATTAACTGTTAGTTACTTGCACTTCCAGAGTTGTTTTTCCTTTTTACTTTGATGTGTGCACTTTGTTTCATTGTTCTTTATTATTTTCTGTTGCGTTTCCAGGAAAATCGTCCAACACTCACCTCTCCAGCCTACCAGCTGGCTCGAAGAGTAGAATTTCGATGATAACGTAACATGGTTTCTCACACACACGCGCAATTCTTCAGATTGTTGCCCCCAAAGGGAAGACAAAAGGAAGTTGAACGTTAAACCGATTTAGGTAATTCGGGTTGGTGGTGGGCTTTGAACGGCTGGATTGGAGAAAGAAAGGGGCAACAAAACAACAAAAAATCAGAAGATTAGAAAGATTGGATTCTCCAGGCCACTGCCCCGCCCACCTGCCCGACCTGCCTTGCACGCGACGACGCTGCTTCCCAGAACCACCCCGGCTGCTGCGAGGGCGCTGAACTGGAAGGGCGCAGGTCTCGTTGCGGATGCACTGCCGCGCGCACGCGCGGCACGGAGGAGCGTGGCAAAGCGATGGGCCATGGTGCCTTAAAGCGCCTCGAAGCCAAACTCGCGCGGAAATGATGCTTCCCAAAATGCAAACCGGAGGGAGCTTCCCCAAACAGCCAAAACCCTTCTGGCAGTTTCCATCATTGTTGGAGAGCCATCTTAGGGTTGCCCCACAATGAGGAGAAAGAAGGGAAACGAGAGCGCACGTCTCTGTAGGCCTCCCCTCTCTACGCCTTGCTCAAGGTGTGAGCTGGATACGCGCTCCTGGCTGCGTGAATGCCCAGAACCATGCATTGCAGCGGCAGTGAGACGCACGACAACTACGGACACGGACGAATTGAAATAGCACCCAAATGCAGTATCCCAATGAACAAAAAAAACATTCCTCTGCCGGATGAGGGAGACTGCCAAGGCCTATTTTTGGATATTGCTGCCCTCTTTTTTGTTGTTGAGGGTACATGTTCAATTTGCATGACTTGTAGGTGGGCCTGCTGAACATACATACGCTCAGGACATGAGAAAGCTTTCACCCCTTCCACCGTGGCAGCACGTATATCAATGATCTGCCACCTTGCCAATGCTCAGAAAGCTGCAAAAAGCTCTCCCAAGATCCCGTGCGATGTTCATTGTGTGTGTGTGCGTTTGGGGGTGTGTCCGTGGGCTTGTGTGTGGGTGTGTGCATGCGCGGGTGCAAGGGTGTGTGGATGTGCAGGCGTGCATGCGCGCGGGTCGGCGGGGCGTCTGCATGGGTCTGCGTGGGCGCATGTGCGGGTTTCCACAGGTGCACTTGCGTGCGAGTATGCGAGTGTGCGAGTGCGCGGCGCATGTGGGTGGGCAGGCGGGCGTGCATGCGGGCGGGTGTGCCCGCGTGCGCGAGTGCTTGCGTGCGTGTGTCTGTGTGTGTGTGTGCGCGTGTGCGTGCACACACTTGCTACAGTACGCAAAAGCAAGGCTGCGACCGCGCCAAAGGGCAAGCCTTGCAGGCCCTCTACCGTTCCTGTCTAAACCCATTTTCTAGCTCTGTACAGGCGCATTGCCAGGTCTATCGGTTTGCGGACAATAGAGTGAGACATCAGTCGCGCGCTTGCTTGCAAGCAGGGCCGGGTCAAACGTGGAGGCTCCAAATTCGAAACCAACCAGGCCAGAAAAACACTCTTGCGTAAGAGCAGCGCGCAGGGGGAATGGGCAAAAAAACAATGAGTTGCACTTTGGCAGCTTTCTTCAGGTGCAGGGCATCCTGCAGCACAGCTTCAATCTGCCTCGCGCGCTCAAGGCTGCCCAGCCCACCACTCCACAACTCCAAAAGTCCAAAAAACAAAGCCGAAGTCCCCCGCAGAATCTTCAAGCAGCGCGCTTAGACCACCGCACGCCTTGCTGCGCAGCATCGAGCGCGCACTGAAGCTGGCGGAGGTCAGGGCTGCCACGCAGAGGAGGCCCAGAGCCCAGCTGGTGCGCTCCTTGGCCGATCTCCCTCCCAGAACTCCCAGATGCTGATCCAGTGAGACAAAAATAATTGCGTAGCCGTGGGAGATAAGGATTGCCTTTCAACAGCCCTTTGTTTGCGTAAATTATGTTTGAGCATGAGGCTGCGGGGTTTGCTTTTGGACCAGTGTTTGGGTACTCCCCTTCCTCTAAGAGCATCGAACATGGACTGCTGAATGAATTCAAAACACACAAATTGTCGACGGGGCGATGTTCAAACACAAGTGACACACAGCGAACCTGGCACGCTGGGCCCCGCACCATGGCACGCTCACGGCGCTCCACCAGACGCTCCAAATCTTCCAGGAGGCCCAGGCTCTTCGGCAGCCTGGGCGCCAAGTCCAATGCGTGGCATGCCCCGCCTTGCTCTGACTCTGGATTCAAAGCTGGCGCATGCACCAGTGAACTTGTTGATGCCTTTCATGGGGTGTTTGTGTGTGTGTGCGTGCGTGTATTGACTGGTCAAGGAGCTGGTCCCGGGAGCTTCTTGAGGCAGGCCTCTGCTCCTTCACAAAGGGTGAAGCGATTGCCAAAAGCCGGCAGTACCCTGGGGTCTGACACTTTGTGGAGAACCCAACCAGGCGAAGCTGTGTGATATCTGCAGCTGCAAACGCTCCTCGGCTGGCTTGAACTCAGGCACCTGGCAGGCCGGGCAACAGTTTCTTGCCATGGCCCGATGACATTCCATCGGCGTTTCCCTCTGCGCTGGAAACCTCTGCATGCCCATGGTGCAGTTTTCAAGCGCAGCCAACTTTTGATGATCCTGGACCCCAATACTTGGCACCCTAACCCCGAGACATCTTTGTTGATCGGTCCGCCTCAATCTCCCGCCGCTGCATAAAGCTCTGGCTGCCATGGGTCGCTGCCAGAAAGCACAGCACAAGGAGGCAGCGCAACATGGCCCGGTCAGAGGGATCGCACGGGTCAAGCAGATTATAGAACCCTGCTCTTCAGCTGTTCACGTCCATCAATTCTGGCGACCCCCTTGTGCGTCGCCGCGCCTTTTCATAAACATGCTGTTCGCACTTACAGGTCTCTACGCTTTGGACTTGGATTCCCGGACTCAGGCCCTTGGCGCAGCCACACACGGCGTCGGAAGGTCAATGGGGCGCATCTGCACTGACGGTGGTTGTCCCGCTGAACCCTCATCGAGGGCTCTGCCAGAGCTTCGCACGCCAAAACAAGCGCTCCTCCTGCGGCAAGCACAAGGGGGGGGGCCGCGGTCGCATGCGGCCCTCCTTGTCAGTGCGAATGCTGGGCAACGCCACATCTTCAAGTTCTGCCGGCCTGGGCACCCACGCAAACGCAAGGGCAACCTGGGAGGATTTTCTGGCAGCTGGGCCCCTCACATTTTAGGCAAGCCAACTGCCGCTTTGAAGTTGCGCAGGGAAAAGGTTGCTCCTAGGCGGATTGGCTTGAGGAAAGCTGCCTATATTCGAATGAAAGGCGAGCCGACACTTCGACCTTCAAAGCCTGCCTGCAGGCGCTTTGATGAAGCTGGCCAAGAACTGCTGGAACACCACTGCCTTCAGACTCGGGCTGTCTTCACTGCAAACGGGTGCAAATGGTCCAGACCACCTTCCCTTTTTTAAAGCAGTCTCCAAAAGGGGCCTGCGCAGATCCACGTGAAGGGTATGCCCGGCATCTCAACTCCATCATGCCCCTCCCAAACCCTGCCCAAGGCACGGACTAAGACCACCTCGTCCGGCACCTTGCTATGCACCGCCAGCTGCTCCAGCTGTGCCTTGGCTGGCGGACTTCCAGTGGCCCCCTGCGTCCCGACATCTACAAAATGATTGGCTAAGTTGCTTGTCAAAGGAAATTGAAACCTGCAAAGTACTCCCATTGAAAGCGCGAGAAAAATGTGTGCGTGTGTGGTGGGGCAAAAGTAATAGAAATGTATGAAAAGTGCATCGCAACGCCCGGCCGGAGGGATCTCAGAGATAGTTCGGAGTGATCTCCGACAGCTCGGAGCGTATTCGGATGGCACGGACGCGCGTTTTTTGCGACATTAGTTGGCGTAGCAGGTGCAGGTCACGTACAGATTGCGTGACAGCCGCCGGGTACAAATTTCGTCGCAGGCACAGCCCTGTCGCAAGGTCAAGGACTGATTTCACGGCATGCGCGCCACTTTCGCTAGGTTCGCAAGGTCACGCGCAGATTGCGCGGTAGTCGCAGAACTGTTGCGAGGTCACGTGCAGATTTCGTGGCAGGCGCAGCACTTTTGAAATGATAGATGAATAGATGGTAGCAAGGCAGATAGATACATGACTTAGACTTAGGTAGGTAGATGAATGGATGGATGGATAGACAGAGAGTTGGATTTGGCATTTGCACACAGACTGATAGATGGACAGAAGGATGCATAGAACTCTTGTGCCAAATCTCTAACGAAGACGAGAGCGGCCTTTTCTCCATCCAATGCGGCGAGTCGCCGCGTGCAAAAGGCTAAAGTAGCCCAAGGGCGCCGCTTGAGCTTGAGGGCAAACGGACATGGGCCTGATTGGCAACTGGGGACCGAAAGAACCGCACTAGTTCCCCACGTGAAGATGCCTTCGAGCTCCTTCAGCGGATAGTCCTCCCGGTAGGCGGTCAAAAGTCATCCACGTGGATGATCATCACGGCCAGCAAGAGTCCTTGGCTGTCAAGCCGATATAGAAGCATACGATCCAGCCCTTGATGACGTGATCCAGCCATGTTGCCGGCGCCATCTGCTGGATGCCATCTTGAGGTGTTCATGTAGAGTGGCTGTGGTCTTGCTTCGGGTTTTTCTTGTAGGAATGCCGTCGAGACATCTCCACTCCACAGGTGCCACTGCTTGCCCGTGAGCTGAACCTTATTGTTGATGCCCGAAGCGGCCAGTTGCAGCAGCATCATCTCTGCAAACTTCGTTGGGGTTGGAGCGCTTCGGTTGAGTGTCATCAAGTCTGGGTCACAGCGACCAAGGACCAGTGTCCGGCATTTTGCTCGTATTCGGTCCAGCCCCGCGCCCCTTGTCGCGGCACGCGTTTCGAGCGGGAATGATCCGCTTGCGAAGAAGTGGGTCCTGCATCACCTTGCGGGCCTCCTCTGGGACAAATCGTGCCCCATGCCATCGGCCTCGACGTACTTGCTGTTGCAACTGATGGTGGCGGTGCTGCGGGCGCTGGTAGTACAGGGGTTTGTCGACCGCTGGAGAAAGACTCAACCTCAGTGGCTGCGGGGGCGTAGTTACTGCCATGTCAAAGCCCACGTCCATGTCCTGCGCAGGGACTAGCGCAGCCGCCGAATGTGACGCTGATGTTGGTAGTGCTTGAGGCTCCTGAGGCTTAGGAAGTTCGGCAGCATCTGGTTCTGCACGTGGTCGAAGATAAGGTCCTTGGCGTGTTCGCCTGGCTCGTGGTTTTGCTGCTGCCTCAAAGTGTTGGTTGTAGGTCGGTGAAAACACCTCTTGATGTATGGTCACAGGTAATTGAGATTGTTGTGCTGCCAGTTGATTCGTCGGGAAGGGTCAGGTAGGGGTCGTCGAGGAGAGCATCCTCCACGCCCATCACGTCTGGCTCAGCAGACTCGTCTTCTAGTCCTGGTCCACGCTCATCTTCCCCCACCTCCAAAAGCGGCAGGGCGCCGGGCAAGATGTTCTTGGCTTCATCCACTAAACGCGTGGCTTGCGAAGGAGGTGGATGTATGACTGACAAAGCACGCATCTCTGCAATGATCTTCAGCGCTTGGCATCTGAGCTCCTCACTGATGAGGTGATTGCCATGGACAGTAGTCGCCCTCTCGTCGCTGAAGAGATCGCCCGGAAAATTTGAAATCTTCCCAAACACAGCTTGATGATCTTCCCTTCGTAGCCGGAGTGGAATTGATTGCTTGCGCGGCGGCGACCAAGATCCAGCCCAGACTCCCGCCGGTCGTCACAAAGCGCTCATCTATCATGCGCTCGGCCACGGTGCTTGAAATGGCGTTGCGCCGCTGGGCGTGTGCCAGGCTGGCACTGTGCGCCTCCGGAGGGACGGCGTTGTAGTGAACGGACGCCTCTTCCATGTGTTCCTTAAGGGCGCCACCGAAGCAACCGTCATCGTCCACGTCCATGACGAGGGGGTAGCCGAAGGGGACCAGCCGTCATGCGAAGAGTGTCCGAGCAGGATAGTTTGTGCTGGAAATTCTGGCCAGACATGTCCCTCACCCAGACGATGTCCGCTTGGATACGCTCTCCGAACTGCCCCGTGAAGGCTGGCATGGAGGCCGCTCTTGGGGGAGAATCGCCTTGACTTCCGAACGCATGATCCACAGCGAAGGTGCTCGATGGCGACGTGTTGGAGGCGCTTCTCCTCTAGTTGCTAGGGTGCCCAGCGTTGACGTGAAATCTGATGTTCGGATTGATGTCGGGCAAGGTCACATCGGTGCGTAGGCCAGGACCATCTTCACTCAGTTCCATTGCCTTCTCGTCTCCGCGTAGCCGTACCAGAAGACAGAGCTGTCATGTCCTCCAGCATGAGGGAGTATGGCCGCTCCCCTGTAAGTGAAGCTAATGTCCCGAGGGAGGCGTTGTGCAACAGGCACTGCTGCGGCTTGTACACGTGCGAGTTCCCACAGCACCAGCTTGGATACGGTCTTGAAAAGCTCGCTGCCTTGTTCAAGGTTGGCCGACTTGACAGCGCTGTTCTGGAACATCTTCTGCACTTGTGACAAAATGTCACGCCAGGCCTCAGGCCTTTTCGTCGCTGACAGGCTGCGCCTGGCGCAGATCGAAGCGATGTGGATCCTGAAGGCGAGCCTCTTGATGCTCGGACCATCTTGAAGGTCTGTGAAGCCGTCACGTTCTTGCCTTCCTTGCTGTTAGTGAGGAAGCGGTAGGTCTTGATGATGTCAGGTCCTTGACATCAAACGCTCCCGCATCGAACGCATGGTTCTTCCCAGATTCGGCTCCTCTGCGTGCTCTCGAACAGAATGAGACCTTTGTTCTCGGCGTGCTGCTCGCAAGTCCATTCCAGTAGAGGTCGTTCCTCATCTCTGAGTGCTTGTAGTACGCGAGGTCTTCAGGCATAGTTGGCGTTCTTGTTAAGTAGGGGCCATCTGGTGCACGGGTAGCCGGCGATGATCAGCAAAGGTCGCCACCTGTCCACCGCGGACTCGAAGAGCTTCCTGACCTCCGGTTCGTTGAAGTCGTATTTGTCGTCTCGATCGAAAGGTTGGATTGCGGTGCGTCCGTACTCCGCGGTATGTTCTGGACGGCCAAGTGTGACTCGAACCAAGTTTCACCGCAACAGGTCCTTTGGCAGGCTGTATCAACGATCATGTAACCGGCGGAATCCTGGGTGGCCAACAGAACCGAGTGAGGGGCCCGATGCACTGCCATGACGAAGTGTGGTTTTCCGTCCGCTCGCCGGGCCAACTCAACAGAGGTTCCAAAGTCATTGATTATATGACCTTACCTCAATTTATCTCAAATTATCTAAAATTGACTTATTTTTGAATCTAATGTGCAAAAAGATGCAAAAAAGTGCAAAAACATGCAAAAATGGAAAATGCAAAAAGTGCAAAAACATGCAAAAACAGACAAAAAAAGTGCAAAAACATGCAAAAAAGTGCAAAAATGCCCAAAAAGCAAACAAGTACAACCAAGTGCTTAAAAAGTGTAAAAACAAAGCGCAAAAATACATGAAACAAAGGCAAACACATGCAAGAACATACAACATGCACAGTAAGTGTTTGTCACTCAATTGTATAATTATTATTCTTTGTGTGGTCGCGTCAGTGAATCGCAAGTCATCATGAGCGCAAGTTAGCGCCAGCAACGTTGGACCATTCCATTATCCATCATCATATTCAGTATTGACGTCGCTGGCGCTTAAAAAAGGCGCCTGTGATCCTGGCGCCTTGGCTAGTCGCAAGCCGGCTCAAAAAACTCTGCCATGCCTCATGTCAAGCGCTGTCAATAACTTGTGGCAAGGACAGATCACGGTCAGCACAGATCGTAGCAATGTCATCGTCAAGCACAAGGTTCGAGCAATGGGAGCAAGGCATTGTCCTGCGGTTTTCGTTGATGATCATGAGCAATGTGCCACGCATGCCAGTAACAATGGTCACATGTTCCCCATTGACCTGCAGATCTCCCGAAAGGTGAACAAACGCTTCATGTCCAATCCACAAAATAGTCACAACACCAGACATGCCGAGCCGGTCACCGGTCCTGACATCTGTCAGAATAGATTCTGGGCAAGGTTCACATTCCAGTTCCTGGTCCAGCTCCAATAAATCTGACTGCTCGTCCTTGTCATCCCCCCACTCCTGAACTGTCTCAGTCATTTCAACTTCCCGTGGCTGAGCGTCAGTCCAGTCATCCTTGGCTCTCTGGTTTGACACACTGTCACACTGGCTTCTGATTCAGTGTGACGCACGCTGTTGATTCAGCAGGAGAATTGACCACCGTCTCTGTCCGACGCTTCTTAGTATCTGCAGGCGAGCCTTGAGACGCAAAACCGCATCTCAAGCCAAGCAGCATGCACACTTCTGGCCAGTGTCTTTGCGGCTCACAGCCATGACAGCATGACTCGAATGTTTGCAGCCGGAACATGGGGCATGGTTCATGCCATTCATGATGTCATGACAGTAATAGTGTGCGCGCACGACTGTTGCAGTGAACTCAAATGAAGTCAGGATAATAGTTTAATAGAGCGACAACTTTTGTCTTCCTCTTGTTCCATGACTGCTGGGCCTCAAGTGAGCTTCTGCACTCACGCATCTAAACTCACTTGCGCA